CTTACCTTAGTCCCAAAAGTGCTTTTTTTTTTAAAGGCAACTGGGCTTTCTTTGTTTTCCTTGAAGATGTTTTGCTTCTTATTCAGTTCTCTTTAAAACTGAAAAAGGTAGTGAGAAGCGAAATGTCTTCAAGGAACACAAACAAAGTCCAATTGCCTTTAAAAAAAACCAGTCATGACCTGGATGGCTGAGAATTTCCATAGACTGATTCTGGTTCTGGTTCTGGTTCTGGTTGACATTCAGCTTATCTTATCTTTGCAATTTAACTGGACAGGTATGTACACTCCTGAACGAAACATCATGATGTATCTACCCATCATTTTTATTTCCCATAAGATGAAAGTTTATAAGTAAAGATTATCCTGGAGTCCGGAGCTTTGCTTTGTAGCTTATCTTTTTCAAGTTAGAAGAATATTTTTAAAAACATTAAATTCAAGAGGCTCAGAGGACCTTTGAGGCACCAAAGGAGAGGTTTATAAGCATAGTGACGGCTATCCCTGAATTAAATAAATGAAATGCCTAAAAATAATGATGTCTAATGAAAATTATATACCATATAATAATAATAATTATATATAAATACCTACATATATCGTGCTGATTACACATAGAGGAATTAATATACATATAAAAGCATAGCCAATTTTTACCGAAAGAGGGAATTAGTGAGAATTGATGTGAAGTTGTAAATGTGGATCAAATCATTATTTGGTAATATTCAGAGTAAATTTGGAGGAAAATGGATATGAGACTAAATGAAAGAAGTGAAAAAAGAAAAATGAAAGCAGGAAGCAAGAAGAAAATACCTGTCAATATCAAAAAGTATAAGAAGAGCAAGACAGAATTAATGGGAAGTGAGAGGACGCAGAAGCTTCTTGGAACAGAGTGAAAAAAGAAGTACAGTCCTTGACTTAACAACAGTTCATTTAGTGGCTGTTCAAAGTTACAACATCACTGAAAAAAGTGACTTATGACCGTTTTCCACACCTACGACCATTGCAGCATCCCTCATGGTCACATGATCAAATTCAGATGCTTGGTGACTGACTCATATTTATGGCGATTGCACTGTGGAGGGGTCATATGATCCCCTTTTGCAACCTTCTGACAAACAAGGTCAATGGGGGAATCCAGGTTCACTTAACAAGCGTGTCACTAATTTATCAACTGCAGTGATTCACTTAACAACTGTGGCAAGAAAAGTCATAAAATGGGGCAAAGTTTGTCACTTAACCAATGTTTCGCTTAGCAACAGAAATGTTGGGCTCAATTGTGGTCATAAGTTGAGGACTACCTGTATGTGAAGTGAAATTAATAGGAAGCATGAAAAGTGTTGCTTGGTAGAATGATGGTAAAATAAGCTACGTGTGGGAAAAATACATATGATAATATAATTGCTGCAAAAAATCACAATGAGAGAAACAGACTGCATAATGTGGCTATGGAAAAATTTATTTATCAAGAATGCAATCAAAAAGAGCAAGAAAAGTTAAAAAATGGTGTATTGCCAAAATATAACAATGGAAATTTAAAAAAAAATAGTTTTGAAAGTTACTGAAGAGGCTAAACAGCTGCCTGCAAGGTGAATAGAAATAAAAATAAATGTGAGAATAGAATAGAATAGAATGGAATGGAACGGAACGGAACAGAACAGAACAGAACAGAACAGAACAGAACAGAATAACAGAGTTGGAAGGGACCTTGGAGGTCATCTAGTCCAGCCCCCTGCTCAGGCAGGAAACCCTATACCATTTCAGACAAATGGCTTTCCAGTCTCTTCTTAAAAACTTCCAGTGTTGGAGCATTCGCAACTTCTGGAGGCAGGTTGTTTCACTGATTAATTGTTCTAACTGTCAGGAAATTTCTCCTTAGTTCTAGGTTGCTTCTCTCTTTGGTTAGTTTCCATCTGTTGTTTCTTGTCCTGCCTTCAGGTGCTTTGGAGAATAGCTTGACTCCCTCTTCTTTGTGGCAACCCCTGAGATATTGGAACACTGCTACCATGTCCCCCCTCGTCCTTCTTTTCATTAAACTAGACATGCCCAATTCCAGCAACTGTTCTTTAAATGATCTGGAATGAAACGGAAGTGAGGGGCTACTGAAAGGAGTATTTAACAGACTTGGAATTATGGTTGCGTGTCAAAAAGTGGAATTGAAATGTTAGTAGTCAAGAAAACATGATGGAAAGGAAGTTATAAATAATGTCAGGAAGTTGAAGAATGGTAAGGCTATAGGTATACTTAGTATAACTGGAGAAATCTTAAAACAGGCATGTGATTTGCTTAAGCTGTGGCTGTGCAGATTGTAAGGTGTGTGATTATTTTTTCTGTATTGATGATTGGAACAATGCTGTTATAAGAAAGAGAAAATTGGCAAAAGGGAATGCAAAAACTACAGGCAGATTTGTAAACTATACCCAAATTTTGTTCATTGTTACTCTTGTGTCTTTTGATTTCTGAATTCTGCAAAAATACCGGGAAGATATTTTTGCGGAATTCAGAAATCAAAAGATACAAGAGGTAGCAATGAACAAAATTTGGGAAATGCAGTACAACTTTATGCCAGATAAGGGGTGGGTAGAACAGATTTTTTTCCCCCTTTAGCAGTTCATTGAGAAATGTATGTGTATGAGTAAGAAACTGTATTGTATACAAGTTGGTTTAAAGGAAGTATGGATATATCAAATAGCCTTGAGTTACAAAACAACATGTATAAATATGGAGTTCAGAGTTGGTTGCTGAATATGAAAAGAGCATTAGATATGCACAAAATAAAAGGAATAGATTAGGAATTCTTATGGGGATAATTGAAAAATCTTGGCTCCAGATTCTGCATTGGTGTGCATTTTTGTGTACTAATGATCTATGCTGACTGAAGGTTCAGTGATTGCTGTAACTGTTAGATTTTGTGATGAGATATATGGGTTTGAAGATTAATGTGTATTTGGTAAGAAAAATAAAGTAGATAATAAATATGGGAACCGTGATAGAATGCTTCCTAAAGATGAAGAAAATGAAAGGCTAAATTTTAAAGTATGCACATGCTGGTAAAAAGGTCATATGAGGAATGAATGTTTGTCAAAATAAACAAAAGCAGCAGTGTATAAGAACATGATTTTGCTTATATTTTGCATAGCAATAAGAACTGGCATGCCAGTAAGTTAATGTAGTGAGAATGGGATATGACATCATGATACTGAAACAAGAGACGATTAAGAGAACAAGAAGTAATGCACAGAATCGTATGGTTGAAGCAAAGATGGTTTGCAATGATAGAAAACCATGATAAAATATAGTAAATGTTGGTATGTACTAACTTTAGCTCTAGTTCCTTTTCTTTTTCTTTTTCTGATACTTTTAATTTTTTAAACTTACTGTTCCTTAATTCCCTTTCTGGGAATAGCTGCATGATATTGCTTATCCGGGAGGAACAGTATGAAGGTTATGCATGATATACAGGTCAGTGACTGTACTTGCACGCCATGCTAAGCTGTTCAAGAGCACCTCTGTGTGTGTATGTGTGCACATATGTGAACATGTGTGTCAAAATTGTCAAGATGGTGACCACAAGATTGAACTCCACCTCTATTTTATATCTGTTACATGAACAATATATATTTTAGAAAGGCAGAGTTTTGATTATGTGGTCACATTTACCATTCTTTGACCACCGCCACCCCAGAAGCTATTATATATTATTAATGGCCATGCATGTGCTACCATGTTGCCATCATTAAATAGAGTTACTTATAAGGGGGTGGCAGTTTACTATTCTATCTGGATTCAAAGCAATGCCATCTTGGATGTGGCATGGCAAAGTGCAAATCTCAGTTAAAGAACTACAGGTAGTCCTTGACTTACAGCAGTTCATTTAGTGACCATTCAAAATTACAACAGTGACTTATGACTGTTTTTCACAGTTGCAACCTTTGCAGCATTCCCATGATCATGTGATCAAAATTCAGAGGCTTGGCAACTGGTTCCTTCTTATGACCGTTGCAGTATCCTGGAGTGTTGTGATCACCCTTTGCAACCTTCTGGCAAGCAAAGTCAATGGGGGAAGCCAGACACACTTAACAGCCAGGCTACTAACTTATTAATTGCAATGATTCACTTAACAACTGTGGCAAGAAATGTCGTAAAAACCCACTTAACAAATGTCTCACTTAGCAACCGAAATTTTGGGCTCAGTTGTGGTCGTACGTCGAGGACTACCTGCACTTCCAAGGGGTGGGGAACTTGGAGCACTTCCAAAGTACTTCTAACATGGTGGTGCATGCATGTTCATTAACTGAACTTCACAATTTAGGATGTAGTATAATCACAACGTTTCTCTTTCTTGGTCAAAAAGAACAGACTCAGACACATATTTATAGATAATTTTTGCTACTGTCGTTGGAGAGTAAAGTGTCCTTTAGTCTATTATACAGTATTTGAATTCACACACACACACACACACAAAAAACCTGCAGTGGTTGAATAGGAGCACCTTTCACTGATCCTTCCAGTGGCTTAAGAAACTAGTGATTTAAAAAGAATGAAGAGAGAGTTAAGTGGAGCTTGCTGCTGGTCTGAGGGAGGAGAAAGTGAAGCTCTAGTTTCAGTTCCTTTTTTCAATATTTAAAGGAGGTAACAGCTTTGGAGGAACGGGAGAGAAGGCCTTCTGCACGTATGACTGCAGACAGAGAATTAAAAGAGCTCCAGATGAAGCATCTGCCCCTCAATATGGCTTCCTTTCAGGGCTGCTGTGTCACAGTCCAGAGATCACAGTATGGAGAACGTCAGCTCCAGAAGTTTAATCTCAGACACATATTGATGCAATTCTAAATGTTGCTTTAAGTAACAGCAGCCCTTTGAAAAAGAGGCAAGGGTTTCATCTTGTCCTGGCAAGGAGGCTTCACGGGTTCTTGGGGAAAAGATTGAGCAGCTGCAGGAAAAGACGGAGGAGCCGCCATTGGGGTGAGGGGGGGGGAAAGGTTTGAGGGTTGCTCCCGTGGGCAGAGTTCAGACCCTGGTATGCCGGCAGGTTCGCGAAGGGCCTGGGGCTGAAGCAGCCGCAGAAGTCGATGGCGATTCCTCGTCCGTGGTATCTCCCTGCTCTTCCTTGTGAAGGCCAAGGTTGATGTGAGTCTGCAGAGCGGCAGGGGTCAGCCATTCCTTGGGGAGGCAGCTTTGCAGAAACGGAATGCAGGAGCTAAAGTAGGCCAGGCGGTTCACCCAGCGTGGGATTTCCTTCCCACAAAGGATCTGAGAAATGACAGGGAAACATACAAAACAATTATTGTTTGATTTGCAGATAATTTGCTACTGCCTCCTTGTCTCCTTTTCCCGCTGGCAAGAGAGAGAAAAAATCGCGGCCTTGACTATGAGGCATAGAAGCAAAAAGAAAAAAGAAAAAAAAAGAATCCAATAAAATTTACTAAGCAGTAAATGGATGGGGAGCAAGATGACCGTTCACCACATTAGCCAGCAAACCTTAATCTATGTTTAATCCTTATACTGAAGAATCTTGAGAGTTAAAAATTACTCATACCATTGATACCTGAATGTTATTATTTTTCCTCTTAGCACAGACCTTACAATTACCCTGAAAATGGGGTTGCCTGCGGGAAAGGGGGTGGTCTGCTGTGAACTTCCCTGCAGAGAACAACATCTGGAGAAAATGGCAGGATGCCATATAGTTTATCCTGCATGCACATTCCAGAAATAGAGCAATTTTCTTCCTGCTGTGCTAAGAGTGTATAGTTCAAAATGTGATGAACACAAGTCCTGCATTGCATACCAGGAAATCTTATTCTACCGTGTGCAGTGAAAGATTTAATGAGTATTTGATTTCCTTCCAAAAGCACTTGGCCAAGAGCTTTCTGTGGTCACATGGTTTCTGGTTTTAGGATTGTCAACCCCCCCCCTCATCTAAGCTCTCTACTGTCTGTTGTGTCTTCCCTCCTCTTACACTTAAGCACAGCACAAACATGCTTGTTGCTTTGCTCTCTGCCAGGTCATCAGGTTGTCTTCATTTCATCCCCAGCTCATGCTTGAAACTGCTTAAAGTTTTTGTTGACTGATATGGAACCGTGGTGTTTTCCTCTTTAAGCAAACCACAGGCCCCATCAGGTATTTGGTTTTTTATTTGTTTATTTTGCTGTGGATGAGATCTACATCTCTCTGTGGCACTGAAGATATGGGATGAGCCCAGCATCTTTTAGGCACTTCAGCAAGTAGAAGTATACACCTTCTGCTCTGGCCCCCCACATACTACCTTACAGGGCACTGAAACAGGTTAGTGGCCTCTCCCTTGCACTCACTAGAACAATAGCTGATCAGCAGGGATGGGTGGGTGGGTGGAAGGGCTGCACAACAAAGCAGGAGGGTACTCTCTTTGCTGCTTCTTACAGGAACCTTCTCTGCACCTATTAATTGTTGTTCAGGATGCATGAGTTTGATGTCTCCTTACTAGTAGAGTTCTGAGGCTCCTTCAGTCTTCTTTGCCCCTACTCCCACCCCACAAAAAAGGTGAAAGAGCATCGATATAAAAAGCAAAGATGTGTCAAGGGGCTGACTGTGGAACAGGTCACAAACTGTGTGCAAATTCCATGTTAAGCTAAAGTGGAAGGGGGAAGCCAACCAGTATCCACAATATGATCTGGAGCAAGATAACACCAGAAAATCCTGAACCTCATTGTTGTGGAATCAGAAAAACTATGGAATGAACTTAAAGAGGTTGTTAGAGATGAATGTGACAGAGAGATTGCCAAAGACCAAGAAAGAGAAGAAGGCAAGCTGGAAATGCATATACTTTATGGGTTATATAAAGACTTTCAGTTACGTCAATCCTTTTAAGCTGGGGGATATACTTAAAAATATAACAATCCCAGAACATCTAGTTCTCCTCACCTGTACACAAGTCAGAAAGCCACTATATGTACAGAACATGGTGAAACAGGCTGCCTCCAAGTTGGCAAAAGAGTGAGACAAAGTTATCTACTCTCCACTTAAGTACTCCATCTACATGTAAAATATATATTGAGGGAACTTGGATTGGAAGAAGATGAACATGATTTTAAATAGCAATAGATGTATATACCACTCCATACAGCGCTGCCTGAGCAATTTATAATGTCAGCATATTGCCCCCAACAATCTGGGTCCTCATTTTACTGACCTTGGAAGGATGGAAGGCTGAGTCAACCTTGAACCCATCAGGACTGAACTCCAAGGCTCTTTTTAAAACTGGAGGAAATAACATCAACAACCTATGCAATGCTGATGACACTACTCTGATGAATGGAAATGATCTGCACGCTCTACTAATGAAAGTCAAGGAGCACAGGAAATACTAGGATTGAGATTAAATATAAAAAGACCAAATTAATGACAAAGGCATAGCAACCAGCCTTAGAATTGGCAACGAAGATATTAAAGTTGTGGACAGCTTTTTCCTTTTAGGATGAATTATCAACACTGAAGGAAGAAGCAGCCAAGAAATTCACTGCAGAATAGCACTTGGTAAAGCAACTATGAAAGGCTTGGAACAGATATTCAGATGCCGGGAAGTATCTATGCCTACCAAAATCAGAATGATACAGGCAATCATTACTACACGATACCCTATGGAAGCAAAAGCTAGCTTTGAAGAATTAGGATAGGAAGAGTTTTGAAACTTTTGAACTTTGACATTGGAGAAGACTCTTGAGAATATCATGTATATCTAAGCAAAATAATAGATCATTAAAGAAACAGCCTAGACTTCTCACTCCAGACACATGAGACCAAGCTCAAATTGTCATATTTTGAACATAAATGTTGGACAGATTTTCTCTAGATAAGTCTATCATTCTAGGAACAATGGAAAGAAAGAGAACAAAAGGATGACTAGCAGCAAAGTGGATGTATTGAATTACAATAGAAATGAATGCAGCATCAAAGGACCTGAAAAAACCAGTTAGGGACAGATCTTCCCGAAGAAAAGATATCTGATTGGTCACTAAGAGTCAATACCAACATGTTGACATATAATCATTAATCATCAATGCATCTAGAGTAATTTGTCTTGCACACCTGTACTTCTATAAATCTGATACAGTAAGTAGATTAAAATATATTCCTACTGTGCCTTCTTTCATTCTAGTTTAAGCGTTAACTTGTCTAACAATACTTTTCTTCTTCTTTTTTCTGTGTCATTATTCTACAGTAGTAAGAATATTTCCTACTGGGGAATCATGATTTGCTTCCTTTAAAGTGCCCTCCCCTCCATTTTTTTTTACAGAGTAAATGTCCAATAGACACTATCAGCTGATCTCCTCAGTCCCCTGCAGGTGCCCATGCATTAATGACTGACCTCCAAAAAGCTAAGTATATTGATCTTGGTTAATGTTTGGACTGGAGACCAGTAGGAAATCCCATAGCTGGAGAGAAGATAGAAGTTGACAAAGGACTCTGAAAAAAGGTACTGGCAATTCTCACATTGTTGCCAAGAAAACTATATGTAGTCACCAGTAGTCAAGCTCAACTAAACCTTACCTTTTTGTAAGCAAGAGGGTATGATTTAAATTAAACATACTGTAATGCTACAAGCATACTGGATAGGTTTACATATAACATTGTGCCAAAACAAGTGAACACTCAAAATAATAGCTTAGTCCAATTTGTGAGGCCAGCCAATTCCTTCCTAAATTCTGCTCACGATGGGCATTTTGGCAAAGGATCAAGAAACAATATGATCCCTTTGGGTGATTTTTTTAATGACTCTGTTTTCATGTTTTGTTTTATTATTTGCTTAGTGTATCACATTTATAAAAATTTAATTGCTGTTTATTAATGATATGCATCACCCTCAGATGATTGCCAAGCAGGCAGCTATATAAATCAATCACTTAATCTACTTTACAATCCCCAGAATGGAAACCATGGTGCCAGTCCCTTCCTTAAAGAAAAAGTTTTGTCACTAAGAGAACACTGCTTTCCATAAGTCAATCAAATCAAATAGAGCAAAAACAAAAAACAAAAACCCAAGTGCCTTCCAGTAACAGCACTTGAGACCTCCACTGATGTGGAATAATTTCCAGCTTAAGGTACATTTATTTAGCTCCTTTCAGACGCCTGAGAGAGAGAGAGTGAAGGTGCAGCAAATGAAAAAATGCCTTGAGATGCTCAATTCTGCCTCAATATCCCACAGAGTCTTTTAGGGGGGGGAAAACCCACATCACACGCCTACACAGCCCAATTCTCCACTGCAAAAGAAGTTTGAATACATTTCAGTAATCTGACCTCTGAAACTGCTGTTCCCTTGCAGTCATCTGCATGAAGCAATCAACTCCTTTTTCCATTGCAATGCTGCTATAGAATAGGCATTGTGCACTTTCTGGGGAAAGGAAAATTAACTCGTTCCTCCTTGCCACTTGATTCTGTCTAAGTTCCCCTAGATGTCTGCTAGCCTTATAAACCCAGGTCTGTCTTGTGATGTATGTCTCTATTCCCAGTCAGCAAGGGATTGTGACTTGATATCTGTAGAAAACCAAGTGTTAGGGATGGATTATTGGGGGGGGGAGGGGGATCCGCTCAACTGTCATAGCAAACAAGTTTTTCATCTGTGGTCCTAGAGACCGTCGAGCAGGTCAAAATGACTGATCTGGCCTTTTCCTCTTTTCCATTCTCATTATGTTAAAAAAAAAATGCACAGCAATTTCATGACTGTCCAGAGACACATAAATAACTCAGGAAATGGGAAACTGCTACAAAAGAAACTGCAATTGGTGACCTTTTCTGTGACACTTCATTTAGATTGTACCCACAAATATCAAAGAGATCAGTGTCAAGAGAAATGAGATGTGGGTTTTTTTCCTTCCTTCCTTCTTCTTTTTTAAAGAGGAAAGTATTTGATCCTTAACTGATAAGCCCCACTTAATAATTTCAGTGCTCAAGAAAAACAAATTAATGCCACTTTGTTCATGGAATCTTCATCTTAAGAACACATCCACCAAAAGAGTAACTGACAGTAGCGAGAATGGATTGATGTGTCAGTTGTGTTTGCCTATGGTTACAAAAAGGGTGCAGGGGAATCACTGACCCTCTCCAGATGGACAGCTGCCAACACTATCCACTAAAAGATGTTCTTTCATTCCATCTTAAGGAATGTTTGGTGATAAGAAAAAGAAGAAGGCAGACAAAATATTAGAAAAGAGGAGAAGATTCCAAAGAATAGAAGTCAGTATATTATTTCCATACATGTCCATGAATAAAACAGGACAATTGCCCAGAAGAACTTTGGGCTCTGAATTACACATCCTCTTTTGAAGATAAAGGTTGTAAAAAAATATCAGGGCAAGAAACTGTTTCAGATTGCCTGGATCTTGCCCTGAATGTAAAAAATTCCTCTTGGATTCTTCACAAATAGAGACCACAGATACTAAGCATGACAGGGTGGGATGGTATCAGTTACGGTTCTCTGTGGTGTTATGATAAGTGATTCAGCCACAGTGATAAGGTGACCAACCGTCCTCCTTTAGGGAGGACAGTCCTCCTTTTGTAAGTTCTGTCCTCCCTCGAAAAGTGTCCTCTTACATGTCCTCCTTTTTGATATTTGAAGACCAATCTGCAGGGCTTTTTTTCCTCATAGAACACTAAGAACGGCGTTCCGGCACCTTTTTTGATGGTTTTTTTCAACTTTTGCATGAGCTGTGCTACTCCCCCTATTGGCTTTCGAAAGCCAATAGGAATTGATGCTGAGCACGCCAAAACACCCGGCCGGCAAACTTTGCACATGCAAGTTGTCTGCAGCGAAGGCGAATTGGCAGGAACTTTGCACCCCTCCCTGCTACCCAACTACACCATCTCCTAGTTAGTTCCGAAGATACCTGGAGGAGACTGGAGCGGTAAGTTTCTCTTGATCTTCAGCTCTGCTAGGGCAATAATGGCTGTGGGCGCAAGAGGCAGGGGTGGTGGGGTGCTGCAGGCGGGGGTGTGAGGGGCGGCAGTGGCTGGCTGCCCCCTGTGCTGTGGGAGCCGCGGGGCCCTCTCTACACGGGGCTGTGCAGGGTGGGCAGTGATGCTGGTGGGGCGGCTGCAGGCGGGGGTGTGTCTATGGCGGGCTGCCCCCTGGGGCCGGAGCTGGCGTGGCTGGTGCTTTGGGAGCCGCAGGGCCGGCTCTACATGGGGCTGCGCAGGGTGGGTGGTGGTGCTGGCGGGGCGGCTGCAGGAAGGGTGTGTTGACGGCGGGCTGCCCCCCGGGGCCGGAGCCAGCATGGCTGGTGCTTTGGGAGCCGTGGGGCCCACTCTACATGGCGGGGCAGCAGTGCTGGCGGGGCGGCTGCGGGCGGGGGCGCAGCGGGCGGTTGACCTTCCATGGGTCGGGCCAGCTTTTACAATATTTTTTTCTTCAATTTATTTGTGTCCTCCTTTTCATTGTAAAAAAGTTGGTCACCTTAACAATGATCTAATCATAGTGGGAATTGTTTTGGCCCAAACTGCCTCACCAACATTGCTGGAGGATTATAAAGTAATACCCAGAGAAAGAATAGAAAGTGAGTCCACCTCTGCCAGAGCAGCTGAGAAGTGATTGCAATTCTTGTGCATGAGATGGTAAGCATTGCCTTTGTACTCTTTGCCCAGTTCCTCCATGATTTTATCCACATCTTCTTCCGTGAAGTCTGTGGTGCCCAAGGCAATGGATTCTCTGGTTAAAAAAAAAAAAAAAAAGAGAGAGAGAGAGAGATAAGAAAAGTCAACGACAGGAAATGGGCAGGCAGAAAGACAGACACCAGGCATGCTTTGAAATTGAATCTCTGCAATGAATTAAAATAGACCAGCTTCTTTTTCAGGCTTCCACATCAGCCTGAAAGAAGATCTTCCTGCTCAGAGAACTGGATTAACGTTGAAGAGTGAGCCTTTTAAAGCAGCAACAACTTTTTCCCAGGCTACTTTAATGAATAGTGGAAATGAGGCCTGAATCACTTCATCCAAATCTTTTTCAAACTGCACTATGCAAACACACACAAACACACACACACACACACACACACATCTCACTCTGTTTATCTGCCTGGTCTATCTAATGTTTAATAAAGCCTCCAAGCACAGCAGTACTACACATTTAAATATCCTTTTAGATTAATTCACCATAGCATTCACTTTAAAATCCCGAATAACTGAAAGCCATTGTTCTAGTTGGGTCTGTATTTATATTTATCTTAAAGAAATAACAACACATACATAGGGTGTAAATAGTAGTACCACTATAATCAATTAGCATTTATAAATCACATACTGTAAAATAAACACCTAATGTCTACACTGACTATTTTAATGCTGAATTTACATGCTCTTGGAGAAAAAGCTATCCCTGCCCCCTCTGCTTCCCAGCACAAGGCACTCTACTCAGGGCTGCCTTTGAATATGATCCACAGTGGGAGCAGAATGCAGTGGGTGGGAATCACTTTGGCAATGCTGGCTCTTGATTTCAGGGGCTGGGTTTGTTGCCCAGGATATTGCTGAGCAAAATTCCAGATGATACTTTTGACCAAGAAAGCCATACGTGGCTTGGGTCTAGGGCAGGGGTAGGCAACCTTGGCTCTTTTATGACTGGTGGACTTCAACTCCCAGAATTCCTGAGCCAGCCATGCTGAAGGGAAAGGGAGAGTTTCCAAGCTGAGCCATGCTAGCTCAGGAATTCTGGGAGTTGAAGTCCACGAGTCATAAAAGAGCCAAGGTTGCCTACCCCTGATCTAGGTTACCTTCTTCTCCAGACAGAACCTACCCATCCTTTGCAATCATCTCAAGCCTTCCACTCCAGATATTAGATGGGTGGCTTTTTCTTAGCTGCTCTGGCTCCTTGGAGAAGCCTGCTTTCCCAAAGTTGGGTGACCTCCGTGCTCTTTGCTAGCAAAAGAACAATGGAGATTGTTGCCTGTTTGGGCGTTGTGGTATTTTGCTGAGCTGTTTTCGCAAGGCTTACTTTTAAGCTTAATTAATTCTGATTGTTAAATTCATTTTAGTTCTAGGTCTTAAATCTTTCTTTCTTTATTGTATTAGGTGCCATCCGTCTTGTCTAGAGGCGATTCAAATTAATTTGGGTTAATTGTTTTACTTTTGAAATTGGTGGCTAACAATGGTTTTTACATGAGCCACCCAAAGTCTGCTGAAAGGGACACGTTCAGTGGTGGGATTCAGCCGGTTCTCACCAATTCGGTAGAACTGGTAGCTAATTTTTTGTTGCCCAGGTCCAGAATAGACTTCCGGAAGCGGCATCCACACAGAGAACCGGTTGTTCACATATTTGAATCCAACCACTGGACACGTTATAAAGTATAAAGTAAGTAGACGCATCTCAATTAGTACTTTTTCAATAGTGGGGGTCATAGAAGACATTTTTGAGCAAATCTCTTCAAATTTCCGTGCAGTGTTTTGAGTATGAGAGAAACTTTGTGCCATTTTTTTCCTTGTTTCAAAAACAATGTTATATACTGTGTTTATGTTGCGAATCGTTCATTCAGACTGCATTCTTTAGCCCTGGATTTTGTATCTTTCTGTGCCTTGTGTTCTTGTCACTGACCTCTGTTTGCCTAACAAAGCAAGCAAGCAAAGCGGAACAATTACAGGGACACTCTGTGTGGCAGCCAGCACCTGCTCCCCAGCTTGCTTTTTCTAGAAATTCCCCTCCCCCTTGAAATGTATTTCTCCCCCTCATCCAAGGTTCTTCAGGCACATCAAAAATTATTTATTTCAGAAGTTTACAATATTAAGACTGAGCAGTTACTCTGTTGCCTCCCTCAGTTTGCTCTAGATGGGTTAGATAGGCCTCCATATTCAGACATTAGTTTGTCCCTTCCACTTCCTCCCGTTTCTTGGTGATTTAATTTACTATAGTTTAGCTTCCAATATGGTGACAGCTGCAGGGATGTTCCTCCAATTCTTCCACATAAGAGACCTGGGGGTGGAAGGCAACTGACCCTGAATCTAATTTTATTCCTCCAGTGACAAAGAAGCAATCTGGTAAGTCAGAGGATTGACAGTTCAGACCATGTCCCAATAACACAAGGTGAGATTGTGCTGCAATATTAGTTGATATGCTGTGGGAGGAAAATAGGTATTCACCATAGCAGTTTAAGTGGGGGAAAAGATAAATCTAGGAAAAAAGCATGTGAGAACTATAGCTTGTGTTCTTATGCTCTTTTGACTCCTTAATTCACCATGGATCTGAATTAAAAGAATGCCAGAATGGGTGCAGTCATTCAGGGAGTGGAAGTAGCAAAGGCTTTTTGTTACAGATGCATGTTATTGTAGATGAATTTCTATATGCTGTGCATCTCTTAGTACTGCATATAGTGCATTCTTAACCAGCCATACACATCACACAGCATTTCTCATTTTATCACTACCACAATCCCATAAAGGAGGTTGAGGGATAGTGACTGCCCTAAGGTTGCCCAACCTGGGACTAAAAGAGGACTTGAAACTGGGCAAGAGTTAAGATTGCCTTCCTTACACCAACTTTTCCTCATTTGGTGTCAATCAAATACGGCCCCATTACCAAAGCCACCGAGGCAATTCACTGTATTGGTTAGGCTAGGGATATTAAGGGTTGGCCCTAACACATGGTAGGCACCAGGTTGGGGAAAGCTGTAGGATAAGTCAGGCTTTAATCCTCTCAAATCCACAACCTGCATTGTTTTAACTGGAGTGGGGCCCCCCGTTTAATAGAAAAGAGCTGCGCTTAAGTCTGGGGAATGAAGCTGAGGGCACCTTCATTTTAGCAAGATGGAATTCAGGAGGTTCTCTGTTTGCTACCTGTGATGCATTCCTTTTAGGAGTTGTACTGCAGTTATTTTCTATTTTCCACCTTAACATGAGAAATTTTGCTGGCAGTTTTCAAATGTCATGGTCAGAAGCAGCTCTGAAGGGTGCAAAATGAGACCTTGGAAGCTTGTCCATGGCTATTTTATAGTATACTATAAAATTAAGGCGATAGCCCTATATGACTGCGTACAGTATATGCTGATTTTTGCCTGCTTCCTTGGTTCTCAGAAGGAATCAAAGAAAGGAATGCCTCAGGAAGAAAGCAGAAAATGGGGCAATGACCTCCTGGTGGCCAATCCAGAGAAAAGGTAGAAAAGAGCTCTTACTTGAATTTAAAGGTCTCTCCAAGCTCCACTGCACTGCCTGGTGTGATTTCAAAAATCCCACTGAAAGGATAGGGATGTCCTCCATAGGCAAACTCTAGCAAGAAAAGAAAGAGACTGTAATTAAGAACGTCAGAGCAGCATCTGTGGTGGGATTCTGGCTCAAGATAAGATAAGGTACAGTGTGACACTTTCCATCCATAGTTACATAACTTGCTTCTCTTCCTCCTTAAAGAGACCAGACTAGTCTGCAATCTAAGATAAAGGTAAAGGTTTCTCTGCTAGTTGTAGTCATGTGGCCAGCATGGCTATACGCCAAAGATGCATGGGACACTGTTACTTTCCCACCAAAGTGGTACCTATTAATCTAGTTGCATTAGCATGCTTCCGAACCGCTAGGTGGACATTTGCTGGGGCAAGTAACAGGAGCTAACCCTGTTGCACAGAGCTCGGATCTCAAACCCAGGCTGTGAGTTCTCCAGTTGACCAGCTCAGCATCTTTAACCACTGAGCCCCTTAGTCTGCAATCTACTCCAATGTTTTTTTGTCAAACAGGGCATTTTTGCTGACCTGGCTTTCAGTCAGCATCAAGCACCAAGACTGAAAGATGATGGATTTCTGGAATATTCTGCAGCTTGTGCTAAGCCATATAATACTATGTGCGAAAACAAATATTTAATATGAATTCACTAAGTATTATTATCACATCTTGTTTCTTTTCCAGAATTAAAGGGTGGCAATCAAATTTTCTAGGTGTGCATGTCAGATGTAAATCTGGGATGGTCAGTTGCTTTGGAAGTGTCGTCCAATGCTTGGGTGTTGGTAGTGGTGATGATGACAATGACGATGGAAGATGTAGTAGTAACAAGACTTATAACAAAATACTGATGCATGAAATGAGGCTATGCATGATATTTGACTCTCCATAAAATGTCCTCTTCTTCCATCCTATTTTCCATTAAATCTTCCAAGATTTAATTCTGGGGCCCTTGAGCAGACTCAACCTCATTGAGCTACTTTGATCCCTAAAGGATTATTTCCCTAATTTTTCTTCATCATAGCTTTTTAATAGAGTTACTTATATAAGCAACAGCATAAAAATTGTTTAGAGCAAAGGAGAAAATTTATCAGCCTGAAACTCAGCAGAACTCTCAGATTATCTTGTTGCAATTCGAACTTCCTTTGGAATCTGCTCTGAGAGATGAACGACCAATGACTAATAAGGTAGTCAGATTCCAGAACCAGGTGGCAATATATTTGCTCTTTACCCAAAAGCCAGAACTAGCTAGTCTTACTCCCTAGTATTTATTTTTAAAATAGGGCACTGCTGAATAAGTGTATAGTTTTGCAAATGAGGTTGCATTCGTTCTTGAATTAGTCAGAAACAGTTGGACTAATTATGCCCAATTCTTAGAAATAGCTAGGAATTATCAGAATTGCAGCCCAGCAAATCTGGAGGTCAGTCATGGGAATGCTGAGTGATATATCCATTAAAATACAAAGCAGCTTTTGCGTCAAGAGCTAAATGACAAAGATCTCCTTTCCACTAAGAACTTAAGACAATTTATTTGAGAATCTTCCTTCATGTTATCCCAATAGCGACAACCCTATGAAGAAAATTGGCCAAATATCACCTAATTAGTTTTCATGATTGAAGATGAATTTCAGTCGGGATCACCCCAATCTTAGTCTAACACCTCTATCACAATACTTCAAGTTCTGTAGAGCTATCACACAGCTCTTGGCTCCTCAAAGCAGCTCACCACTTCCTTCTTTGCCTGCACCCCTGAGCCACAAGTCCACAAGTCATAAAGGGACCGTAGTTCCTCAACTCTTTAAGCAGAGGTGGGGAACGATGGTCCCTTTATGACTTGTGGACTTCAATTCCCAGAATTGAATCCCCAACCATGCTTTAAGGTGACTCATAGCTCTTGGAACAGAATGGCGTAAAATTGCAGAGTCTGTAATTTGAATTGCCTTCTGCCTCCAAAATGGATTCAGCATTTGTAAAATGCAAGAAAAGACAATTTTATTTTGCAGTGAGCTATTGAAATAAAGGAAAATATCCATACTGTTAGAGATTTTCCATTTCAAAGATTGCTGCCTCCAATCTCAGCAACTCCTGATGATATAAGGTAGGGGTGTCAAACTCGATATCGTCACGTGATGTATCATGACGTATCGTGACGTTTTTGCCTTTGCGGAGCCTGGGTGGGCGTGGCTTGCATGTGACGCATTTGGCTCGTGGGCTGCCAGTTTGACACCCCTGATACAAGGCATTGGCTTACAGTTTTAATGTACCTGATCATATCTGCAGTCATTTTGCTGTTTACGGCCTTTGGTTCACTTAGTGAAGTGTCTTTGAATCAGGATCAGCCCTGATGACTGTGGACAAATGTCCACCATCTCTGCCTATCTCAGCAGCAATCCACAGTTCTTTTAAGGACATTTCAATTATCCAGATCCTGTCCATCTGTTGTCTTCCCCTTCTCTTACTTGCCTCAACTTTGCAAGCATGGATTGTCATCCATTTGTATCAGATGCCCTTAGTAGCTGAATGCTGCTTGCTGTTTGTTGCCTCAGGGGAGCCATCCATCTTCATTTCATCCAGGAACTGATTCTTCTTGCAGTTCATGATAATCTTAGTAACCATTTCCAAATCCATAATTCAAGAGTATCTCCTATCCCTTGTTCCTTATAAGTATCTAGTTCTCATGGCCATACATTATATCATTAGAAAAAAAATTACATTAACTATGGTAATCTTTAAACATTTGTGCAATTTTAATCTATCCAGTGGGTTTCCATCTGCACTTTTGCTTTCCTAAGTGACTGCTGCTCTTAACACTTCATTTATGCGGGAGGGGGTGGGGTTTGCAACCTATTAAAAAAATACAATTTTAATTCTTCCTAAAACAATCTCAAGGAGACACCACCCTTTTTAAAAGTAGAATATTCCAGCAATTTTCAGGCATAATTCACAGAAAACTCCATACCTCTACCGTAGATCTCAATTCCAGAATGGAAGACTCCAATGCCCAATGTGGAGGTGTATTCATTTATCCAGTACTAGAGAAAGACAGATTTAAAAGCATTTGATGAGAGAGCAATGCTTGGACAGGGTTTTTTCCCTTTCCTTTTATCCTGCAAGCTTTGGATTATGAAGGTAAAATATAAAACCTTTAAACAGCTGAAAATAAAATTGCACAAAAGGTAACACGTTTTTAAACATCCTTAAGAATAGCTTAGTCAACAACCTAATGATTACAAAGGGGCCAGTTCTCTTGAAAGATTGATAATTGGATGTTCTCCCTTGATTTAAACAACAGGTGTGGAAATGAAGGGAGATACATCCAAGAGTTTAGACTGAGGCTCTAGAATGGAAACCTGCCTGGCACAAAAAGAAAGCCAGGGTTAGATTTAAAAATGGGATTCAGAAATCTACTTAATGGGTCAAGCAGCTTTTTAGAGATAATGATTGCTTTAACATTTAGGATTTAGATTTATAATGGGAATTAAAACTAACTCTTAGATTATAACTTCAACTGTTACATGGAAATAGATTTGTGACAATGAAAGACATTTTGCTACTAAATGAGGAGTTACTAGGATGAGAAATAGAATATACTTGTCAATAAAGTAAGAAGGTAAATTTTGGATTAATATGTATATTTCAGTTATGTTAATTATCTTATAATGAAATGAGGGAAATTAAGGTTATCCAAAGCTTAAACATTGGTTATAAAAGGCTAAATTGGAATATATAAATTGGAATTAAATAAAACCTAAAAACAGGACTTGGATATGTATAACTAAAATGTTATTGATAAATGTGATGATTGACTGAGCTTTAGCTAGAAACTTATTAATATGAATATGATATAATATTTGTGGGAAATAGAGAGGGAACTTTTATTGATGTAACCTGAGATATATATGAATTATTTTGTTATTGGACTATTGATTAACCTATCACCACGCTGCTTCCTAAGTATTTGGATGTAAAAATTTGAAAAATTAATGAAACTTGTATATAAAAAAGAAAGAATAGCTTAGTCAGCATCTGCTTAGAAGAGATTCAAAAGCTTCTAGAAGGGTTACTTCCTGGGTTTTTGAATGCCATGACACATTTCTGGACTGCAGTTGCCTACAATCTGTTGAACAGCAGAACTGAGTTAGAATACAGGTTGTGACAGTATGTCAGAATAATCACAAAACCAGTCTTTCACCTGGTAGAATTGTCACTGAAGATCGTCAGGGGAAAGGGGTGGAAGATTAATGGGCTTGCACAAGAAAGGGCTGGTGTCCTGAGGTACATAAGGGTGGAAATGGGAGCTCCCTCAGATTTCAGAATACTGTATGTTGATTACATGTTGATTACAGCTGAGCAGAGAAAAAGAACTGCTTACTTAAAGTAAAACGTACAGTAAAGGAAACTCAAGTGATTTTGGCAAAAAAAAGAAGTTGAAACATATTTCACTTGACTGATGTAATGATGACAACTTGTGTTAGCTTACCAGCCATTGTCATCCAAGCCTGCATCTTTTAGCCTGGGCTTCCATGTTCTTTTAAGACTTTTCTTGATAGCTTGTAAAGGTATGTGGGAATGTCCTTGGGAGGCAGGTGAGAGAGATGCAGACTGGACAACAGCATGTAAAAGATGTCTTAGTCCACAGAAAAAGAGGATGGTGTGGGAAACATTTCAGAAGGAACCCTCCCTAATTTTCTGGAGAGTAAAAGGAAGGGAGGGGAGAAATACTTTCAGTCTAGCAACATTCTGTTAATGTAATCTTATAATAAACAATTAATGCCCCTGCTTGTACTTCTTGTCTGGATTACATTGCTGGGCTAACATATCTCTGCAGAGATCTATCAGAAGGAGGATGGGACTATCAAAGAGAAAACATCACTCCCACCAACACTGGCAGGGCGAGCTACTGTATATGAACAGCAAATCCCATTCCCTTCTAGCATTGAAGATGTTACCTAGCCAGGTAATGAAACATCTGCACAAAACAACCAAGCTCAAAGAGCACCAAGGAGTATACAAGATGGAACTTCTATGGAACCTTTCTCTGCCATTTCTGAGGCATCTGCATTTTGCTTGGTAAATCTCTGTAGGTCTTTTGAGCCTTATTTATGTGAGAGATGAGAAGGGGAGAAATGTGAAGAAATGTGAAGAAATCCTTACGCATTTCTCCTGTGGAGCCTTGGGCCAGCAGATAAGATGGGAGGGAGTAAAAGGCTTGGGTGAACTTCAAGGCAGGGGGCTTCCAGGACTGGAGTGACAGGTAAGGCCAAGAAAAGATTCCCTTTGGGTACCTTCACTGTTGTAGAAGAAATGGCATTGGTTGTAGGGTATGACAATAGAGCAAAGGGGCTCTCTGTGAACTGTGGAAATATGAAAGTTATAGATGGATGGAATTTCATTTACTCTCTAGCTCTATTTCAGGGATTGAAAAACTAGGAGACAAAATTCTTTCTTATAGCTTTTCAGTATGGTTTGTAAAAAATACCAGCTAGGTAACCATATTGCTTCAAATTAAGTAGCGCTCCCCTTTCTCCTTCCCTAAATTCTGCACTTACTGTGTCATCATATATGTATGGGAATATTGAATGAGTTGCCACATAAGGTCTGGAGGGGTGGTGATATTTTGAGAGAGAGAAAATGAATAGTTAAATAAAATTGCATAAATTCCAAGACTCAGCCAACTTATCTGACTGCTAACTTTTCACAAAGTTTACTCTCACTATTCTTCTGCCAATACATGCTCTCTTTCAACCAAACTAGGAAGACCAGACCAGGAAATCAACTCCAAAGAAAACTAGAAAGTACTTTTATTGAGGTTGGTTATAATAACAGAACCTTGCAAGTCTGATTATGTATCTGTACCGCCTCTCCTTTCTTATATCCCAGTGCATCAGGGCTGTATCTGCCTGAGTCACTTCTGAATGGTATTTTATTTCTTAAGGCTTAAAAAATGTTTCAACCCTCCCTTTGCCTACATAATGGTTCTTGTATATTTCCATCACAGTCACCTTTCTAACTCTCTACACTCACTGGTATGGTCAATTAAAAATCTTGCCTTTGCCAGCAACAACTTAACTTGATCAATTTTCAAATCCTACAGTATGTAGTACACACACATTGCAATGCTTTTTCCAGCAATTTAGTCCCAGTTGTGTTAATAAGAGTAGCATTTAAAATAATGTTCAAGCAACTTGTACTGGTTTAAAACTATTGTGATTCTCTTCTTATTCATCACAATGAATAAGCCTGCTAAACAAAGAGAATGAATCTTCAATCTGTGTGTGCTATATAAATTGGCAAAAAAAAGTGCTTATCATGAAGACTGACAGTGCTGGGTGAATGGAGTCAAGAGACGGTTTAGGACTTCAGTATATTGGGACAGTGTTAGGATTTTCTAAGATCAGATTTTCACTTTTGAGAGACATGCTCAAATTCACTTTTGAGAGAGGCATTCAAATAAATATGTTACAGATACTTGATCTTCTTTCCTTTGTTTATACTGGAATAAATACATAGTTTGGGGGGGAACACTTCACAAGGATGAAGATAAAATTCAGGAAGCATATAGGCTGTTCTATTATAATGAAGAAAGTGAAATTAGATGCATGTTACAGATTTAATATTTTCTTCAGATGAAATCTCAGCCTTCTGTCACAGATATTGAAGATCTAACCCCTTCTGAATCCCTCTCTGCATTTTAATATGCCCATGGGCTTATTTCATATATTTTCAAATATCACAAATGTCTAGAAACCTGTTCAGATTGTCAGTATACTGATTTTATTTTATGTGCTAGAGTTTCAGAATCTCTGATTCCGATCCTCTGATGATAATGAATCAGTTGGCAAAGTTAGTTAATTTCTCTTGGCTAATCAACTAAGTTGCTGTCAACCAATCCCTCTGCTTCAATAGGATTTTCTTGCCATCTGGATTGTATACAGCTACCATCTCTGGATGATCCTAATATGTTGGAATATCAACTACTGTAATAATGTTAATGCATAATGATATGCATAATCCACTTTCCTTGCCTTTCTACTTGCATTATTGATAGTCTGCTATCCCTAATAACTCACTAAGTATCTGCCGATGCATTTTGAATGTACATTATGGTTGCACATAAAACAGAGTTGTCTTATTATTCAACAAACAAATCCCAAATATCCTTCAAAGGAGGCAGCCGCAACCCAAATAATGTAAATTCCCAATTCCAAACAACCTTGCCAGCAAATTTCCACAGCTAGACAAATGTCTTTCCTTACAGAAAGCCGCCCTCATATTCCTTGGTTTCTGGCTGAGAAATCAAGGACAGTTAGGAAAGTCTCAACAAGTGACAACACCGGGTTCATCTTAGGTAGACTCAGAAGCTAAGCTGAATTGGGTCTGGTTACTGTTAGAACAGAAGACCTTCGATATAGGTCTGATTTCATTCTTGCCCACCATAAAGAATCTAATCCAGTTGAGTTTCTCTATGAGACTTCTGGGGGGCAGGGGAGGGCGGGGAGGGGATAGTTTTTGGGTACTCGGTGTCTAAAAGGTTTGACATCACTGTACTAAGTATATACTATACTATACTATACTATACTGTACTGTACTGTACTGTACTGTACTGTACTATACTATACTATACTATACTATACTATACTATACTATACTATACTATACTATACTATACTATACTATACTATACTATACTATACTATACTATACTATACTATACTATACTATACTATACTATACTATACTATACTATACTATAAATGTTCCCAGGTAGGAAAGAGGGACACATTATGTTTTTGAAGAAGTCTTAATGCAAGTGCTGTGACTTATCATGTGTACTTTCATTGGATGTTGAGAAATAAGTAAATAATGGTGTTTTTTGTGTGATGACAACATTGGCACTTGGCATTCTGAGAGGTCCTTGGTTTTCTCTGAACTTGTTTTCTTGCAGACATTTCATTACCCAAACTAGGTAACATCAATACTTGTGATCAGTGCACTAGCACTGATGATGTTACCTAGTTCAGGTAAAGAATATATGCAAGAAAACAACCAAGCTCTGAGAGGTCCCCTCATTTCAACCCTGAGCTATTCTCCTTTATTAGTGCTTGCCATTCTGACAACATCACATTTTGCTGTGGATAAAACTGGCTGTCCTG